CCCCTCGCTCTGCTCCTCGCTCCTTCAAGAGCCCATGTCCCGGTTATGAAGGGCACAGATCACTGTAGTAGCCCCTGGACAGAGGGAGTCAAGGGCAGGGAACCTTCCTGGTGCCCCTCACTGTGTGGATGAGGAACCTTTTGGAAGGGGCCCGGAGCTCAGGTCCCTCTGTCCCCGACCACTGAATGACCCAAACCGTGCCTTCCACCGCGCCAGGGCAGCCTGGCTTGCTCACCTGGTCTCTCAGGTCTGAAGCCACACGTTGAGGCACTCCCTACCTAGTAAGCGCCCAATGTGCTGGGTGCGCCACCTACTACCTGGATATCCCTCTCTGCCCTGAAGAGAGAGGTGGCATATTACAAGATAATGGACAGTTCTGCATTATGTTGTTATGGCTTCCAGTTCTTTTACAAAGACATTCTCTCTCACAGGCGCACTTCTCACTCGGTTTTTGCACTCCATGTGTTGAAGAGTTAGGTCCTGACAGAAGATTTATAGGTTCAAGTGTAAGAACAGAAGACAGAAGCTCACAAAATAAAGTCACACAGCCAAAAGTAAAGCTGGTTGAATGAGAGGAAATGAATGGTGTAAGACTCAGAGACAGAGAGAACTAGACAGAGACCTTCTGCCAAAACCACTACTGTTTGTCGCCATGCTTGACAGGGACGGTGAGGGCCTAAAATCTTTTCTGACGTGCTCTTTTTAAATGCGAAGTGTATGTGTTGCTTGCAGCTTCCACTAAATGCACACGCTGGGCCCCAGCCATGCTAGCTGTGTCCAGCAAACACCAGCTACAGCCACTATGCAGCAGTATCCCCACTGGCAGGGGATACAAAGGCCCTGGGGCAGGAATGAAATTGAAGCAAAGTAAGGAAGCCAGCGTCCTGTGGCTGGAAGGCATGAAAGGGAGTGGTAGTGAGGGCAGAGAGAAGGTAAGCCGCAGATCTTGTGGGCTATGGTACACAGCTTCAGGTTTGTTTTCTAAGAGGAGTGAAAGCTACTGGGAGGATTAGAAAAGGGAAAATATGATTTGATTTGCATGTTTAAAAGACCACTCTGATTCTTGAGTGGGGAAGACTTGTGGATAGGGTGGGGTGGCAAGAGGGGGTGCCAGGAAATCAATGGGGAAGTCCTGAAGGGTTAGGTCCTGACAGAAGATTTGTAGGTTAAATCTCTAGACAGCAGTCTAGAGAGAAGAGGAGAATGACTTGGCTTGGGGCTGAGCGCAGCCTGGAGGGCGTGGGACTCATGCTTGGACTATATTTAGAAAGTAAAGCCAGAAGGTTTTGCTGGTGGATTGAAGGTGCTGCGTGATGGAAAGAGAGGATTCAAGGATAACTCCTGGGTTTCTGGCAAAAACAACTGCTTGAATAATGACTCTGTTTACCAAAGGGAGGGGCAGACTGGACAGGGGAGATCAGGAGTTCAGATTGGAACATAATAAATTTGACCAAAACACCCTCCCTCTTCTCTTTTGACCTGAGCCTTCTCACCTCTAAAATGAAGGCTTGCCCAGTTCATCCCCAGGATCTTTTCTGCCCTGTTTAAGGTTACTTCTTCTAATTCTGCCACATACCCATCTCTGTTAAGCCCACAGATAATACTCCGAATTCAGGGAAGAGTGCCATGACCCTTTTAGTTCTCCCTTGGGGAGAGGGAGAAGGCATGAAAGACGGAGAGAGCAAGAACATGATAGCAAGTGTCTGTATCCCACAAGGAGCCCTACTCAGTGCCAATATCCTGACTACCTTGAAAGAGGAACTAGGGTGGAGGGAAAGGGGCAGGAGTCAGAGCAGAGGACACAGATGAGGAAGAATCACCAAAAAATGTATGACTGGCCACAGAGTGAAGTAGATTTCATTTCCTACATTTCTTAGGTTTGCATTTTAGAGGTTTCAAGGGCTGCTGAATGGAAAAGCAATTTATACTTCACTTACAAACTATCTCAATGCCTGTGATTTGAGTAGTCATTCAACCTCTCTGAACTTCAGTTTCCTCCATTCTGAATCTAAAGAACTCTACTCTCTCTCCAAGTTAGAAAATTCTAAGATTTTATTGCTTTAAGAAGAAAAAACCAAATGCATGTAAAAATCCAAGAAACTTGAGACCTGAATGGATAGTTTTTGAAGAGGTTTTGCAAACATTCTCATTCAACACATCTTTTCTTGGGCAGTTACTAGTTCCTATATGCACCCAGGATTGTGAAGGTGTAACTCTGAAAATACA